AGTTTTGTGCAGTGGCATCAGTTTATCTTGAAGCGATTCAAATTTGAAGAAAAAAAAAAGATTAGGTGATGACTATTTTGTTTCTGCGGTACAAAGCTGGCAATTGTAAACTTCGTCCGCACTCTAGAAGTAAGCAATGAATTGTTCTTCATTACATTGCGTGATGACATTTGCAGACAAATCCACCCCACTCTAGCAGTGAGGTGGAGAAGATAATTTGTATCATCTGAACGCGGCCTAACAGCCAAGAAGCTTAGCTTTGATATTAAAATCAACTAGCCTGTAATTATTTTAATTATTTTCAAAGCTGTTATATGTTATGTAATACATTTGAATAACTTCATAATACCACACAGATATCACGTGCGGTTTCAGTTCGGCTATTGAAATGCCATTTATTTGCAAATTCTAATTGAAAATTGCATTTCGGTTTATTCAGCTTTTGTTTTCATCAGTTTCGATGATTCTAATGACTCACTGAAACTGATGAATGTGGATATGAATATTCGTTTTCATTTTTTTCTTTAAGTGCACGTCTCATTCGTAATAAACAATCCTACTCCATTTTATTGTATGCCCAAAACAAATAATATTTGAGTATTGCACTGAAATATTATAATAAACAGTTGGTTTATTATCATTAATCTAAAATAAGGCCGATTCCGTCCGTATTAAGTGATATTTTATTTCCAGTTAAGCAGATCAGTAGGTATCTCAGAAATGCACAAAAACGATATGAATATGAATGATTAACATAAATAACATGTTTCTAGCATCTTTTTCTTGTCATTGATCAATCTGAACTAAGATTGCAGCCAAGTGTCCCACTCCCTTTTGAATTCCACCAAAATTTAATAACTGATTTCGAGGCAACGAGGAAAACAGCGACATTATAAAAAAGTCGCCTCGTTTTTTTATAGTAGTCATCAACTGAGATTTTTGAATTGGTTAATCGAAATTGTTTATCTGCTAATTCTAATTGAAAATTGCATTTGGTTTATTCAGCTTTTGTTTTCATCAACTTCGATGATAACTCATCGAAGTTGATAAATATGAATATGAACGTTTGTGTTCATAGCTGATGCACTATTAGTGAATGCATCTCGTTGAATCGAACAACTTCGAGAATGCAAAGCTTCAAGATTCATATGATGAGATGAACTGATAGATCAAACATGTCGTTGTCATCGAATGAAAATTAACAAGATTGTCTGTGATTCAGAATCTGCATTCAGTTGCCATCCATTATGAGCGTTCGCTGTGTGACGATAACGAAGAAAACAACACGGCGAAGGAATCATTTAAGGTATTGCGGCTGTGAGAGAAACATCGTAGCCAGTCTAATCTTGTGAATTACAATGCAATGCAAAGTATTGAATCAATTCATGCAGATGATGGCTCTGATGAATGATTATTCGTTTTTGAGAATGCTTCAGTCAAGATCGAGTATCCAAAAGCAGAGAAAAAACTGAATTTTGCAGCAGACAAAATCATCAGCTTTGAAGAGAAAACATTTGAGCAATGCTTAATAAACCTGAATAAACAGTATTTGAAATGACTGTCGTTTACATTGGTAGAAATGGTGGTCTGTAAAATGAACTGAAATGCAATGATAATAGCGAATTATTGTATAAACAGTTTATCACCGGAGTTCTTCATCAAACAGAAACAAAATTCTTCGGTGCATTCGAGCAATGAAAGTAGTAAACAACATATTGTGAAAGGTGAGCGTATAAAAGAGGTCAGTGTGAAGTTATGGCCAGTTCATCAGTGCCAATGAATAACGTGCTATTCTTCGCCCTGCTATTCACAACGCTTGTCGTGGCTCACGAGGAGAAGGTTTTTACTGATTGATATCTTCTTTTTTTTTTCAAATCTAAAATGGAATTGTTGTAGCGGAAAAAGATAGCAGGCACGGTTTTTCATCCATTCATCTTCACCCTAGCTTATAAGGAAGGGGGGGGGGGGGAAATCAAGGCTTAGGCTGCTATAATATTATCGAAATTCAGTGCATCTCCTATCAAGGGTTTCATTCATTCACACAAGTTGCAATTTGCATAGGACCTGCGGATAATGTCAAAGGCAAATGACATTAGATAATCACAATACCCTCGTTCCAAGCCAATTTTCAACCCTGAATGTTCAATACACAGTCCGAAACCTCTCAAAATCCTAGTTCTTTTCGGCAAAAATATCAGCAAAAATGAAAAAAAGAATTAATGAATACTTCAAATTTCATCACCTGGAATGCTCCACCTTTATGTTCATATTATGGTCGCTCAGAGCACCTTTTGAATCGTCAGAAATTTCAATTAACTTCAGTCATCCAACTATTTCCTAACGGATGAGGACTTCGAAAGAGCCAGATCAACTGATTTTTCAAGCGCACCATTCAACTCATCAGTTATGGAAAATCCGGATCTGTTCGAAGGAGATATAAGTTCGTTGTTATATCTCAGATATTACCACAGCGGTGCACTCCACTTTTACAAGTCCCCTCAAAATCATGCTAGTGAATGCAGCTGACGGATTCAAGCACATCGAAACTTGCCATTTTATCACGGAACACCGCACTTTACTGGTTGCGTTTCCCAGTTGAAAGCTCTGTGCCAGTCTTTTCCAAAAAAGAATGATGATCAGTATCTATGCTTCTGTTCAACACATGTTCAAGACTTCTTCTACAGTCACGCTCTCCAACTGCTATAACCCAATTTTATAGTGGATCCATATGTGTCGTTGAAAGGTGCGTCACCCAGTGAAAGAGAAAATATGTATAAAATGATGGACGCCAAATTTTTTGGAAACGCTCTCCGAGATCCGAACGCATTATGGCCAAAGGGAGTGGTACCCTACATGATCCACGGTTCATTTGACAGTCAGGAGTGAGTTACTTTGTGTGCGAATGAGTTAAAAATATATAAACAGTCCGTTGATCAGACAATCCTCAAAACGTTAATCAGTTACACCGATTCGATATCACTTGATCATGCCTTACGCACTGATTTACAGTCGAGTGAGTCTACAATGGCAAACGGATGCCTTTTAGATGTTGGCAGACTAGGCAGCATTTTATTATTAATGTTCTTATTATGTTTTTAATAATAATAACAATTATAATAACAGCAATAATAATGATAATAATAATAATAATAATAATA